GAGTCCAGAACTAAAAATCCAAAAATCCAAAGAATTTTCCTTTTCTTCTTTAGAATAAATATTTTTGTCTCTCAGAATATGTAGTCCTATATACAGCAAAAAAATACAGTAATGAAAGTAATACTTTAACTAAATATAACTACAAATTATATATTTTACCTTACTAATATATTCACAAAATCTTTGTCAAAATGTTGTGATTTAGAGTAAAGCTTCTTTTCAGAAAGAAGCAGGTCTGCCAAAAAAAAAGAGAGAAAAAGAAAAAAAAATCATCTGCAAACTGTTTTCTTTTAAATAAACACACAGTAATGCAAAGCCTTGGTTTCCGTGGGAGAAGCATTGCAGTAAAGCTAAGTCAAAGGGATGGCGCCTGGCTGTAGTTCTGGTTATGGTTCTCCTCTGCTCCATCAAGGGCCCAGCCGCATGGACGAGGAGATCCCTGTGATGGGCAGCCCTTATGAATAAACACGTGGATTGGCACATCCTGGATTAGCTGCAGCTCCCCTGGGAGACTGAACACGTGCCTTTCTACACTGAATCGACATTAATATCTGTAAGAAGTGCTACACTTTCCAGCATGCTTTTAGAAAACCAATTTCAATCACTTTCTATGAATTTCTCTTCTTTCAGGCTTTCAGAATGTGGCAATTAAATGTATTTTAACCTTAATTTTAATTTGGTTATTGACTGGAACACTAAGGAACCAGTTTTTCATTCTGCCAAAGGTACTCTGAAGCATTTACTTGAGTCTAGATACAGTGTTAAAACTGTTGCCTTACTATAATGTGTCATCTGCCCCATAAAGCTATAAATCTTGTCCTTTTTTTTGGTCAGCAGCTTCATTTCTTTTCCTTTCTGTGGCCCATGTGAAATGAACTGCTATATTCAGTGTGCTTTCTGGGGGAGGTAAGTGCTAATTGGAGAAGCTGCTGGCACATCTGGAGCTGCTGCTGTAGCAGAAATGCTGGGGTCAGCGTGGTCACCATCTCATCTCACTGTTATCACGGCTCTTTTGGAGGAGATGGAAGAGCAGCTTCCCAGGGCACTAACTAGTTAGCCTGGTAAGAAATGAAAATAAGCATGAAAAAATCTATGACTGGGCAGCAGAAACCTCACACAAAACCCAGAAAGTCACTTTCATAGTCATATCAAAAATAAACACTGATTTCTTAAAATGAAGAACTATACACAAAAAGAAAGAACACTTGAGTAATTAATATTCTTTATGATAATTAATATCTTACATTGATAGCAAAGACATCTTACCTGGATGACAGTAACAGACAGCACATAAATCTTGAAAAGACTTATTCTGCAAGAATGTGCCAGCTTATCTGTTATTTTATGCAGAAATGGGTATATAAATACTGTCTAAGCATGGCTGGAAGAGGCTATAAATTCTTGCTTTGCAGAAGTAATTTAGCTTTTATTTCAAAAAGCATGGTTTAGAGATATAGAGGTTTTCAACAAATTTGAAATATTCGTAATACATATTAAGAAAGACAACAGCTATTTTTCTACAAAACCAGATACTCCTAAATCATTTGACAAGGTAAGCTGACAGACACAAGTCAGTAAATGAACTGACTTGTCATTAGTGACATTTGTTGTCACTAATCCTGCACCTGTTCATCTTCTCTTTCACCAAAAAGAAATCTTACTGACATCAGTATTATTACTGCTAATTTACTTCAGTATGCATAAGGAGTTAATCTCACTTTATTATTTCTTTATGTAACAATAAACAAAAAATACACATTGGCTTGTAACCCTGGAGCCATGAAATCACGGAGATTTTGCTGTTGGTTTTACTGATGTAGGATTTCATGCAATGTGCTTTTAAAGCTGGTGAGGATTAACGGCAATGACGGCTGCAAAATTACACTCTGACAGCAATTTAAAATGCTTTTCCTGATACACTACATGTGCAATCCAATGCTGCGCCATGGAAGTCATTCAGCATTTTGAAAACCTAGCAGCAAGGCTGGGTTTTCTTAGGTAAAGAGCATTTCTCTCCTGCAAGGGCGATGGTTCGTGTAAGAAATGTCCCTTTAGTGTCTGCACTACCACAGCACCGACTTGCTGCTGCCGGGGCTGTTTTCTCTGGGATGGAGCCTATCTCCAAAGTAGGAGGCTGCCCTTGCAGGGCTCGGCACTGCTCCTTCCACAGGCAACCCGGCTAAACAAGGCTCAGGCTGGCGAGTGGCTGGGCACACAACAGGGGCAGCAAGATCTCCACCTCTGGATTCAGTTACCAAGTGAAAGGAAAAAAACGAACCACTTTAAGCAATTCATTTTTTTCCATTTACCTTGTGCATCCAGGTAATTATCTCAGCCCAGGGGTATTGATTCCAATGTACCCCTGGTCTTGAATAAACAGTGAAATTTCAACTGCGTCAGTTGAAGCAGGACTGGGTCATCAGCAATAATACTGAACTCTGTGTCTGTATAGCACTTTCAAAACAAAAGATAAACAAGCTACAACAAATGTTACCCTCCTGTGAGCTCAGGACTGGCCTAAAAATAGGGAAGCAAAAGAAAGTTAAAAAAAAATGAGGCTCATGTAAGGTGTAAGACAGGTGAGATACGAGTGCCTGTGATGCTCACTGGCTGGCTCCCGTGCTGTGCCCCTTGCAGGGATGTCTGGCACCACGATGGGCTCTTGATGGCTGCTGTTGGGTGCCAACAATCCCGGCTGCCCTGGGAATCCAGCCGCCTGCCGGCACTGTGCGCGGCTTCGAGGGCTCGTGGGAGAGGGAGGCGCAGCTGCCAGGCCCAGAAGCCGGTGCTGCTGCCTGCTCCCGCTCCAGCTCCCGCCCCGGTTCCCGCTCCGGCTCCCGCTCCCGGGCGAGCGGCGCTGCCGGCTGCTCGGGCCGGGGGCAGCGGGCGCTGCGGAGAGCGCGTGCTCCTGGGCGCCGAGCCCCCCGGCTGCGCCGCCTTGCTCTGGGGGGACATGGGGCGCGGGCGCTGCTGGCGCCTGCCCGAGGCCGCCGTGGGGCAGGCTGCAATGCCAGCGCCCCGGTACCTGTTGCCCTGTGCCCGGGACAGGCCGGGCTCCCGGCCGAGCGGGGCAGGCCGGGCTCCGCGGAGCACTAAGCGCCGCAGGTGCAGCCCCGCGTGGCGGCGCGAACTGCTCCCACCTCGGCACAGCACCCGTCCTGCCGAGCGGCCTGGCAGCTCGCGCAGCAGCGGGAGTCTGCGGGGCGCGGGTGCGAGAGCGGCCGGCATGGAGCGGCCGCGCGGCCCCGCGCGCCAGACACGAGTGCGGGCAGCCGCGGAGCGGGCCGCGGGGAGCTGCGGGGCGCGGGAAGCTGCAGAGCGCGGG